AAGAGAGAGAGAGAGAGAGAGAGAGAGAGAGAGAGAGATGAAAAGCTGTTGAATTATTCTATCTCTATCTATGGAGAGAACATATACTTGCTTTAAAACCGGGGTATTGTACTACAATGGTGAAACCAAAAGAACATTAAAAAAAAAAAGATAATAAATTGTAAGGAGAGGGTGAAAATGTTGAAGGGTAAAATTAAGGGAGAATGCCCTAAAAACATATATATATATATATATATATATTGCGTAAGATTCGCAGGGCACGAGAAAACAATTTCCGAGGCATATTCTGACTACTCGACACAGGGAAAGAACCCAGAAAAAGTTGCAAAACGGAACGGAAAATATGTAAATATTTAGAGAAAAATATTAATGCATAACATAAAAAATAACTGGGTTTAAAATTAAGGAACCTAAAAAAGCTGATCTGATTTTTGTTTTTTTCCTTTATATCTATATATATATATGAACAATTATTGAATCTCTTTGGATGAACTCCTGCAAATTTTTACGTATCACGTACGTGTGGAGATACATATACATATTTATAGACAGATTTTCTTATACTGTGTAGCGAAAAAAAAAAGGTAAAGAGAAACAAAGTATATAACTATTTATATGTAAGTTACCTGGTTCGTTCATGATTCGGTAACGTAATAAGGAAAAGCTTGGTGTGAGGAATGAAGCCTGGTCCGAGATCGTTTTAAGAAGTCTTAACACAGAGATCTAGAGGTACATATACACACACACACACACACGTATATGTGTGCGTGTATATGGTTGTGTATGTGTGTATGTATCATATAGATCTACGGAGAAAGCAGATGATCTTGGATCAAGCTTCATTCCGAACCCCCTTTTCCTTTTTCTTCATCTTCATCTCTCTCTCTCTCTCTCATGATTTGGTAATCAAATGAATAAAAAAGCCTCGAAACACTCAATTACTGGAATCTTCATCACCAACCCACAAATGCTCATCTATTGCATACTAATAAGACTAATTTTTAAAAAAAATTATTTATCCCAAAAACCCATGTTTCCCTTCTTTTAAAACCCCCCTCTCCCTCTCTCTCTCTCTCTCTCTCTCTCTCTCTCCTTCTCTCTCTTTCTCGCTGACACACACATTCACGCACAGAGACAGAAAGGAAACACACACAAGAAAGAAAGCGAAAGAAATGTTAAAATAGAGAGAGAGAGAGAGAGAGAGAGAGAAAGAGAGAGAGAGAGAGAGAGAGAGAGGGGGGGAGAGAGAGAAGGAATGGCGTGTGAGTGGGAGTGGGAGAGAAATGGGGGAAAGAGCAAGTAAAACAGAGGGCAAAAGAATAAATATATAAGCAAAAACAATAGTTGAAGGAAAGCACATGAAGGACAGGTCATTTTATGTATTATTTAAAATCATAATATAATTTCTAAAAAAAGTTTATATAAATATATATACACACACATAATGGAAAAGGTGGTGGGTTTTGGAGGGATTATGTTGTCTTCTTCTAAGAGTATCGTTTCTTTCTGCCATTTTTTCATCTTCTTTATTTATTGAAATACTTAATTTTATTATTTCTATAGACTTTCACCACAAAAGCAAAAGAGAATACAAAAGTTAAAAAGAGTGATACTCAACTGGGAAAACCCCGTTGGCAAGAAACATGGTCAACATACTGAGAGGTTGGGGGTTCGACTCTTTACCCGTTCACCTATCGTCTGTCAATTACGGCTGATTACCTCCCACGCGTGTGTTGTAGACTCGTGCATGTGGGCTTGAGTTTACTTGATCAGCGCGTCCAAAGGGTAGCAGCCGGGGTTCCCAATATAAAAAAAATGATAATTAAATCGGAGTACATAACCATACAAAGTAAATGAGAGCGTGCATTTCTTCCATATTCCATTCTCCAACGACTCAACAAAGTTGATCGGTTCCTTATCTGCAAAAAGACAAAACAAAGTCTGATGTTGATTGAGATCATAGATCTCCTCCAAACTCTTCGTTCCTCTTGGTCCAATAGCGTTAGGACTATCTTCGGTCGATGAAGATACTCCCGAGCTGGATCCAACCTCAACATGTGATTGTGGAGTTGGCGTCGAAACCTCTCGTTCAAGCTCCTCTCCTTGATCATTTTCTATCACAAAAGGATAGAAAGTAAACTTCTCTTTGTCATCCGAACTCCAATCCCATGCACTCTTTTCATTTATAATCACATCTCGACTGATTTTGATTTTCTTCTCAATGGGATCATACAGTTTGTAACCTTTTGATCGTTGACTGTATCCCACAAAGATGTATTTCACACTACGATCATCAAGCTTCTTCCTTCGTTGTTCTGGGACATGAGCATATGCAAGACTACCAAATATCCTCAGATGAGATACATTTGGTTTGTATCTACTCCACACTTCTTGAGGTGTCCGATTCCACACACTATTCGTCGGACATCGATTCAACAAATAAACCGCGCAATCAACGGCTTCAGCCCAAAATTCCTTGGGCAAGTTCTTGCTTTTCAACATACTTCTGACCATATTCAAGATGGTCCTATTCTTCCTCTCTGCGACACCATTCTGTTGTGGTGAATATGGAACGGTAAGCGGCCTTCGAATACCATTCTCATCACAAAACATCTTGAACTCCTTTGATGTAAACTCACCACCTCGATCTGATCTCAATATTTAATTTCATAGCCACTCTGTCTTTCAACAAGGGCCTTAAACCTCTTGAACGCCGAAAACACCTCTGACTTTTCCTTCAAAAAATAAACCCACGTTTTCCGACTGTAATCATCAATGAACAACAAGAAGTACCTGTTATTCCCAAAAGATGGCGGATCAAGAGGGCCACACACATCAGTGTGTATCAACTCCAAGAGCTCTTTTGCTCTTGTCAATGACTCCTTTGGAAAACTTTGTCGATGTTGCTTTCCTACCAAGCAACCTTCACACACTTGGTTTGGCTGATCAATGGGTGGCAAACCATTCACCATCCTCTTCGTCGACAACAATTTCAAACCCCCAAAATTAAGGTGACCAAGCCTTTGATGCTACAACCAAGTTTCATCTTCGGAACATGCTTTCAGGCATTTTCCCACATCAGTTTGAATGTTTATCGGAAACATTCGGTTCTTAGCCATCGGAACACATGACAAAAGGTTCCCCTTTTCGTCTCTAAGATAAATACTTTGATCCCTGGATGAAATGTTATAACCTTTCTCAAGTAATTGACCAATACTCAGAATATTGGTTTTCATACCTGGCACATAGTACACGTTTGAAATGTACTGATGGCCTCCATTCTTCAACTTGATCAAAACCTTTCCTTTGCCTTTGACGGAGATTTTGGATAGATCTCCGAAAGTAATGGTCCCCGTTACCGACTCGTCAATCTCCACGAACATATAACGGTAACCACACATATGGTTACTAGCACCGGTATCAAGGTACCAGAATTGCTTTCTTTCTCCATCCGGGCTATTTCGTGCTAGTAAAACAGTGTCTTCCACCTCCTTTTTCTCCTCCGCATAGTTCCGAGATGGCAGACCTGATGGAGACAGGGTTTATCCGGCCCAGCGTATCACCATGGGGAGCACCGGTGTTATTTGTGAAGAAGAAGGATGGTAGTATGCGTCTCTGCATCGACTACCGAGGCCTTAACCAAGTGACCATCAAGAATTATATATATATATGTATATTCGTTTTTTGTTGTCCAAACTCAAGTATAAATCCATCGCATATATGGTGTTACATGCACATTCGAATTTGGGTTAATCTCCTAAAATCATTTGGTCTGACGATTAAACCACTAAAAAAGAGTTATATACAAGTTGGCTTAATTTATGCACCGAATCTTATGTAATTGGCTTTATATAAGATTCACAATCTTAAGAAATTGGTTTCGTCGCCAATTAAAATTGCATTGATGTATCGGTCCGATAATCTTATCTATGAAGATCCATAATATATGCATTATTAAATTTTCCTTTCTAATAGTGGAATGTACTTTGCATTTACATGTTTATATGTGCAATGCATGCAACTACATGGCATTGTAACTAATTGTCTTTCAAGCTTCAACGTTATGTTTTCGGTTAATTTTCATGGTTATAATCCTTAAGCATTCAAGTATGTAACTAGAATTTTAGGGTTTACCATCATTCACATAAGGACCCATGAGATGGGGGCCTTAAAACTTATATAATGGAGTAATATTGGTCTTAATCTTATTTAAATCTAGATTTTTTTTATATGCTTACAAATTTTGATAAATAGTAATGAAAAAACTCAAGTATTATATCATTACAAAATAAGAAAGAGACATAGCCCTAAATAAGTCATATCCAACAATTAATGGATCTATAGTTTTTTTACTCGAGGTTATTTTTACCAAATTTTATTATAGAAATTCTGCATTTTAAAACAAAATGAATACATTTATTCAAATCTCTGTTGACAAATTAATGACCCCTAGTAATTTGCTAAATGTGCCATAACTATCTATTAGTTATTGAACCTTATTAAATCAGAAGTCTTGGCCACTAAAAGTATAAACCTACTAGTGGTAATAGTTAAAAGAATTTTTTAATTTTATATAAAATAAAAATATAAAAAAGTAAAGGTTAGGTGACTACTC